ATAAAACATGCCACACAGAGTTCTCTATATGAAAAGTAGCTTAATATGAAAACATTCCACCCCTAAAATTCAGAGTCTGGACAACATTTGAATCCCCTAAGTGCATGTGTATATATATATTAATTTTTAATGTAATAATATTATCATGTAAATTAATTTGGTCTGTGACTATCTTTTAGAATAATATAAGTATTCTAGAGACTGCAACTCCAAGTACTTTGGAAAGTGAGGAAATATAGCTTTCTAATACCCAGCATTTAAAAGAAGTTCATAGAAAAATTTTCAAACAGCTTGACAAAAAAATAAAATGCACAAAAACTGCAAGAATGCATTGTACTAAACAGAAAGGAACTGTTTTCTTACCATCTAGTCTATTTCTGAGAAACTAAGAGCTTGTTCTTTCACTTCCAACTGACGTGTTCGATTAAAATACTTTCAAGTTATAATTAATTGACACAAGATACTCCTTACTCATAAGAAAAGAAGAGCCAGAGACTTCTAATTTATAAAAGGACTAATCAGGCTGTCATAGTGAGGGTAAAGAGAGAAACATGCAGCACCAGAGTGTTTCAGTCCACTTTTGTAAATACAGAGCCATGGATGGAGGAACCTAATTTGATCTTCCTTTTTTAATACGCTGACTCATTTTTTGAGGAAATACAAAAGCAACCAACTATCAGGGCCTTGCAGCCCAATGAACTGCTCTTAAAAGACCATTAAACATCTTTAAACTATATTTGCTGGTGTGTAAAGTACAAATAATAAAACCTATATTATAAGCGTGTGCTGAAGAATAAATTAAATTTTATTAATAACATCTGTAAAAAACCTAGAAAAACAAGGGCACTTATATCTTTTACACCATGGACCTGAGTACATGTGGTTGGACCCACAGACTGCAGAGCAGAAGGCAATGGTAAACTATTGCTACATTTTCTTTGCCTACTCTCTCTCTGTCTCTCTCTCTCTCATTTTACTAAATTAAATAAAATAAAATAGAAAGCTTTTATGCAATTATTCAAAAAGAAATTAATCACACACAAAAACAAGACATGCTAACTATCAGAGACTGGCATGAAAAAGAAGGAAATTAAGCAAAATTAAACACCATTGCAAAATTTGGACCAGTGGTCAGAAACAAAGCAGGAAATCAGTTAGTGAATTTCTGTGAAACAACTAGTCCATTGCAAACACATGCATCAGACAACCAAACAGATGACTGTATACACGGGCATCACCAGATGGCCAATCTAGAAATCAAATAAACTGTGTAATTGGAAGCAGGAAATGGAGAAGCTGTATTCTCTCTTCCAGATAATTTTTGAGAAAATATACACTGGATTATTAGGAGTAAAAAGGCATTATGTCTGTAACTGACTCTCAAATAGTTCAGACAGAGAAAGAAAGTAATGTGGTAAATAACATTTGGGGAACTAGGGTAAATTTCCTCTACTATTTTTAGCCAAGTTTGTGAGAAATTGGTATTAATTCCATTTTTCTTGGTCGTAGTTTTTTTTTTTATTAATAATTCAATCTCTTCACTTGTTACAAGTCTATTCAGATGAACTATTTCTTCCTGAAACCTGTTTCAGTAGTTTGAGTCCTTCTATGAATTTTTTAAACTAATTTGTTGGCATACAGTGTTTCATAATATTGCCTTATAATCCTTTTTATTTCTGTTAAAAGATCAATTTCATTGATCTTTTCAAAAAACTGGCTTTGGCTTTCATTAATATTTTTTCTACTTCATTAATTTTATAACATTCATTCGCAAAAATTTCGTTTTATTTTTTTTCCACTGCTTGCTTTAGATTTGGTTTGCTCTTCTTTTATCAGTGTCCTAAGGTGAAAGAATATTAATTTGAGATCTGTTGTTTTCTTAATGATTGCTCCGGGACTAACTATATATATATTCTCAGAATAAACTTCAAATTTATGCTAAAATTAATTCCAGTGAGATACAGAACTGTTACTCTTATAATCATATTTCCTTTTCCTCCTTTTGAGCTATTATTCTGAAATATATATTACATATTACATCTAAATATGTTACAATCTCAACATTACATTGTGATGATTATTAATTTATATAATTTCATTCTTTTAAAGAAGCTGAAGGAGAAAGAATAAATTTATAGAGCTTGTTATATTAACTTTTTTTATTTACAATTTCTAGTTCTCTTTATTCTTAGGGGTTCAAGTTAATATCTTTATTCTAATAAACTACCTCCTTTGTATACCCACCTACCTCCTTTGTGCTATCATTATTAAATGTGTTACATTTATATATGTTATAGGTCCTGTGATACAATTATATAAATGTCATGGTATACAATTGCTTTTTATATCAGTTAAGTAAAAGAAATATGCATTTATATTGTCTTCTATTATTATATAGTTCTCTTTATGGTACTCTTCGTTTTTCAGGTGGATTTATATTACCATCTGGGGTCACTTTCTTCCTGCCTGAAAAACTCCTTTTAGTATTTCTTGTAAAGTCAATCTGCTAACAGTAAAGTTTCTTGAAGTCTTTAGGCTTGAATTTGGCCCACATTCTGTTTCAAATAAAGTCATTTATTTTTGGGAGAGACTCACAGGTCTCTGTGTTTATGGACTGCCACTCTTCCTGGACAAAAAGCTCTGAGCCACTGTCCCCTCTACTGGGCAAAAATGGTTGTCTGTAGTCCTCTCCACTTGCCTCTCTCAGCTTGGAAACTACAAATGAGCCAGAATGAGGGTAATCAAATTAAGCCTGGTGATCTCAGCCTGCCATGCCTGAGCTAGAGCCTTCACTTTATGAATGGGGCTGGCAGGCAGCTGGGAGCCCCCAGCCTCCATGCACACTAACCAAGAATTTAGTCTCTGCAACTCAGTTTTGGAGAGGGTGAGAAATACTGATAGCCTGCCCCTCCTAGTGAGATACTTTTTGCCCTGCTTGGAAGATGAGAGATTTACTGTAAAAGTAAAGGGTACATGGATTTGGTTGTTAAGTCATTGCTTTGTGTTCAGTGCTTTCAGTTTCACATTACTCTAAATCTGTTAAAGAGGTTGTTGCACTTCTAAAGAATCGCCTTTAAAAATCAGGAAGGCCCCATTACATTGGACGGGTAAAAGTCTAGCCATCCAGTGAGAGACAGAGAAGTAACAGAAACCACTCCAACCTAAACTGGAGAAAATACAGGTAAGAACTATATTTTCTCATCAAAGCAGCTTTTTCTCAGGACTTGTACTCTGAGAAATGGAGCACAGGGATAAGGTTGGGACAGGGGTGGGAAGAGATTTATAAGGGGGTTTGGGAGTCTGTTAGTTTTCTAAAAATGACCAGCATGAAGATAGGCGCCTAATGTGGGACATTTTAATGAGAATTCAAAAAGAAATCCTGGCATTATCAGGTGGCAGCGCATTCCTAATTGTCACTACTATACTTGTATGGAATTAGGCACCAGCAGACAGGGGGCTAAACTAAGTTGGAAATGTGTTAGGACTTTCTCTTTGCTGACTTTGTCTGTGTCGACTGGGAAACAGTGAAATTACTATTGTCTTTGATGGAACTTTCTCAATATTGATCTCACTGCAGCTAAGAAACTGAAAGGGCTACAAATATGTTATTTTCATGAAACAGAGATGCAGTGTAAATAGCTGTCTGACACTGTTAAAGAAAAAGAAATGAAAAACGAAAACCCACAGTGAAACATGAAGATTCATGAAAATAATACATGTGAACTTTGTTTCAAAGTGGATTTCTTCATTCAGAAATAGCCTAGGTTCTGATTGCCAGGTGGAAGGAGGGTTGAGAGCTGGGTGAAAAAGGTGAAGGAATTAATAAGTGTAAATTAACAGTTACAAAACAGTCAGGGGGATATAAAGTACAGCGTAAGGAATATAGTCAATAATATTGGAATAACTATGTATAGTGCCAGGTGGGTACTAGACCTATTGGGGAGATCACTTCCTAAATTATATAAATGACTAATCACTATGCTGTTCACCTGAAAGAAATATAATATTGAATTGAAAAATAAAAATTAAAAAAATTAAATGAACCCATTCTCAGTTTAGAAAAAAAGTGCAGCTCGCTGCCAGCGTTAATTTAATTTTACATAAGCACACTCTTTGAGGCTGAAGCAAATCTGACTGCTTTTCAATGTGAAAATAAAATGCAAAAACTGCCGTTGGAGTTATTTCTAACAGAACTTGTCTCTAATCCTAATGTAACAGAAATGTATACATAAATCGGATTCATCAAATGAATCGTCTAACAGCTGTTCGAGAATGATATCATGCGTAGGAATGCTACGTTTTCTAGGATTTGACATTTTCAGCCATCAAGAATTACTATATTTTGTAAATGGAAATACCACTACTAAAATCAGAATGCTATAAGTAGAATGATGTCATTTGTTTCCAAAGACTAGTGATATACTAGAACGATAAAAAAATAATAATAAAAGTGAGTTATTTTGTGGCAAACTTTGGGGGTAAGGTTAGGACTGTAATCCACGAGTTATTTCAGGATAAATGCTGCAGCTGCAAGCTCCACCGGCAAATATTCCCAGGGAAAATGGGAAATGGATTAAAAACAAAAAAAGAAATAGCCCAGGTTCACTAGATTAAATTTCTTAGTGCCAAATTCCTTTTTACCCCTCACAAGTAGAATTTGGCCCCGCCACTTTACTAAAAAGCTTCCTGTTTAAAGAATCTACTGTGGTGCACTATTAAAACTGACATTTTTATTTACTTTGACTTCTCTGTGCTGTCGAGCAGTTTTGTTCCTGCCTCTGGAAACTCTATCCCTGAATTCTTTGGCTTGGCATGAGCTTCATTCATTGCCTATTTGTCTGACAGTTCTCTCTTTCCTTTCAGTTCCTCTACCCCTTTCCCTCGCCATCTTTCTTCTGCTCCCTCTCTTCTTCCTCTACCAAATGAAAAAAAATAAATAAATAATAACAGAACAAAACAGAAAACCTAGAAGAGTATGGCTGGAAAAATATTTCTCTTGAACAACCTCCTCTCTAGCTCTCCTGGTCTCTGAATCCATATTTCATAGTCTTTTGTTTCCTTACAAAAGACTATACATGTGCATATGCACATGTATACACAAACATGATTTTTAGCAACGTTCAGAATTTGCAATTGTGCAGTCATACTCTCACTGAGTTGGAGGATACTTTATTATGAAGCTAATGAAATTTAGGTATAGGTATCAGAAGCCCTTGCTTATACAAGCCTGTACCAAGGTTTGGAAGGGTCACTAGCCATGTGTTTCACATGGTCATATATTTTTATAAAATTTGCAAAAGTAAGTTATATTGGTTCCGCTTCTGCAGTGGTGGTATAGAGAGTTCTGTGGACCCTCGTTCCAGTAAAATAAGTATAACTAGGGGGGAAAAAAACACACTTAAAATCTTTGGAAATTGTCCAAAGGGCATACATCAAATGATATAACATTTATTCATGAAAGCCTTTACTCCTAGAAAGAATTAATGAATAAATAAATAAATATTGAATTTCATACATAGATCCAGAATGTAAAATACTCTCAACTCTATTCTATTTTCCATTTCATGTCTAGTGTAAAATTTTTAATGAGAATTCAAAAAGAAAGTTATCCATGGTAAATTAAAGATTTTGAAAGTGGTTAAATGTTGATAAGTCACTGTCATACCAATATTTTTTTCCAGTGCACTACTTCGATTATATTTCTTCAACTTTCCAAAGTGATACAGATCTTCCCCTCATCTATCTCACTGTTGACACAAAACTTTTGGCCATGTAGAATTTTATGACCCTATCTTCTGAATGCAAAATAACCTGGTGGAAGTTCCTTATCTACTAAGTTCCTTAGGGTGGAAATTCTAATTCATCCCATCTCCTGGTGGAAGTTCCTTATCCCTAAATTCCTTAGGGTGGAAATTCTAATTCATCCCATCTCCTCCCTTGCAGATAAGGTGACAGTCTGGACATGGACTCAGAGACCCAGATGCCAGGCCCAGTGTGCCTCATTGAGAACACTGAAAATGAACTGACAGTTAATCCGAAAGCTCTGGAGATTCTGTCTGCTATTACACAGCCTCTTGTTGTGGTGGCTATTGTGGGTCTCTACCGCACAGGCAAATCCTACCTGATGAATAAATTGGCTGGGAAGAAAAAAGGTAAGGGGCACCAGCAAAGCTCTGCCAAGTCCATTCTGTCCACACGTACTCCCAGCACTGAGTATGGTGTTGCAAAGAGAGAGCTGGAGATCAGAAGGAATATCGAAAGCTAACTTTCAATACACAGTTATGCTTTTATCTTCATTCTAATATGAAAGAGTCAACTCAATCTCTCTTCCCACTTCGTTTTCATTTCCCCTTTTAAAAGCATAAACTGTTCCTTTCCCAGAATTCTATGTTTAATTTTTTTAGGCAATCACCATATCGTTTTCCACAGCAAGTATACCATTTTACATTCCTACCAGAAATGCACAAGCATTTTAATTGTTCTACATCCTCGCCAGCGCTTGTTATTTCGTTTATTTGATAGTGGCCATTCTAATGGGTTTGAAGTAGTATCCCTAATTACTAGTGATGTTGAGCATCTTTTCATGTGTTTATTGGTCATTTATATATGTTTTCTTTGGAAAAAATGTCTATTCGAGTTCTTTGCTCATTTTTAAATTGAGCTGTTTGTTTTCTAGGGTTGCATTGTAGGACTGCTTTATATATTCTGGATATCAATACCCTATCAGAATCATGACTAGCAAATATTTTCTTCAATTCAGTGGGTTACCTGTTACTCTGTTGATAGTGTAGTGTTCTTTGATACACAAAGTTTAATTTTGATGAAGTCCAACTTATCTATTTTTTTCTTCTATTGTTTATGCTTTTGGTGTCATGTCCAAGAAATTACTGTCAAATACAACATCATGAAATTTTCCCCCTTCATTTTCTTCTAGGAATTTTATAGTTTTAGCTCTTACATATAGGTCTTTGACCTATTTTGGTTAATTTTTATATAAGGAAAGCTTTCTGTCTTTGACCACTGAGTATGATGTTCCCTGAAGGTTTTTTGTAGATGACCTTCATTATGTTGAGTTAGTTTCCTTTTATTTCTAGTCTGCTGGTTGTTTTATTATGAAAAATTATTGGATTTTTTCATGTGTTGGATATTCTAATTTCCCTGTTCTCTATCAGTAAGATTAATACTGGTTGTGGTCTTGTTTCTCTCTCCTAACCTTGATTATGCTTTTATCTCAATTACCAGACCTACCTGCTATTAGAACTCCACTCCCTCTTACCTCCACTGTCCCTTGCAGGCTTCTCTTTGGGCTCCACAGTGCAGTCTCACACCAAAGGAATTTGGATGTGGTGTGTGCCTCATCCCGAGAAGCCAGACCACACCCTAGTTCTGCTTGACACCGAGGGCCTGGGAGATGTGGAGAAGGTAAATATTGAGGATTCCATTTTGGGACAAGCCCCTGATTTCTGAATATTCTCTACATACTTTAATTTTCCTTCAAATAAGAGCTCGCATTTAATCATAGTTTGTTTTTTCATTTCTGCTTATGTGCCATGAGATCAAGTTTAGCAATCAGGGGTCAGGAAAATATTCGTAAGGCAGAATCCTAGAAGAATAACATAATGGTCAGTAAATAGTGTTTTAATTATTAATAACAGGCTAGCCAGTTAACCCAGATGCACCAAGGTAGTACAAAAAAAATCAATGTCATGAGTCTTATCCTGCAGAGAACTTTAGTTAAGTATTTAGGTTCAGAAGTCCTATACTGTTGTGTTTAAATTTAAACTGTCACTAACAGAGTGGCCTTAGCAAATTATTTGACCTCTTTTAACCCCAGCTTTCTGATCTGTAAAACAAATGTAAACAATCTATATTTGCTTCATAGTATTGTTTTGAATATTTAGTAAGTAATGGAAAAATGTTAGGTGCATAATAATTGCTCAGTAAAATAGCTACAATTAAATATTATATAGGTCAATTTTGTGTAAAAACATAGAGTAAACTTTAAATTAAAATTATATTCAAGGCCTTAGAACACCCACCAATCTTGACTTTTTCTTTTGCATTTATTTGCTAATAATCATGAGAGGACCTAATGAAAAATCAGTGTACACCAAAAACACTAATTAGAAAACTATTCAAAGTCCAAGCCCTACTAACAATCACTATCGTTTCAAAATGGTTTCCTTTTATAGGTCATTAATCTATGTGGGGGAAAAAAACTCCTGCAATTAAATGAACATCCTTTTACTACTGCTGATCTGAAAAGTGCCTTCAAAATCAAACATAATCCTGGCCCAAATGTGTTCTGATTTCCAGGGTGACAACCAGAATGACTCCTGGATCTTTGCCCTGGCAGTACTCCTGAGCAGCACCTTTGTGTACAACAGCATGGGGACCATCAACCAGCAGGCAATGGACCAACTGCAGTATCCTTTTTGTGGTCCAGAACAGCATCAAAGTCAGAGGGAAGACCTATATTAGAAAACCGGCTGCCCGCATATGAATCCTAATTGAATGAAGGACAAAAAAGAGAAAACATAAAAAATAAACACAAAAAACATTTAAAAAAAAAAATAAAGTCAAGGGAAAGATCCCAAGCATTTACTAAATAATTGCCATGAGTTAGAATCAAAGACAAAACAAAGGTTTTGAATATGTGGGGCTAATATGGCATTGAGAACACTGCTTTTACACCAGTTTTCCTTAGTTCGCTTCTCAGGTATGTGACAGAGCTGACAAATCGAATCAGGGCAAAATCCTCACCAAATGCAAATGAGGACGAGAATTCAGCTGACTTCGTGAGCTTCTTTCCAGACTTTGTGTGGACGTTGAGGGATTTTACCCTACAGTTGGAAGCAGATGGACAACCCATCTCAGCAGATGAGTACCTGGAGAATTCACTCAAACTTAAGCAAGGTAAAGGGGCTTAGAATTGATTATCAGGAGTGACAAAACACTAGAAACTATCGTTTTTTATTTTTCTATTACAGTTTTATTATATTTATGGTTTTCTATTTCTTTTGAGCTGGCTAATACTGAGAATTAATGCTTGTTTAACATTTGAATTAATAGATTCAATTTTAAGTTATCTCCTCCCCTGTTCTAAGAATAAGTTTCTTTTTCTTTCACCTTTCCCTATGCTGTGATCAGATTGATTTTATCTCCCTGATTAGGGCATGCGATGCTGTAATTAACTAAAGAATATGGAGTAGAATGGGCATTTATTTAAAGAAAATTGATTAAAGAATGAACATTGCTCTAGGCCCGTGGTTGGCAAACTATGGCCCACTGGCAAATGATGGCCAATCCAGCCTGCCAGCTGTCTCATAAACAAGGTTTTAATGAACTAATGCTATGCTCATTCATTTATAGATTATCCATGGCTGCTTTCATGCTACAATAGCAGAAAAGAAACCCCAAAGCCTAATATACTTACTATTTGGCCCTTTACAGAAAAAGTTTCCAAGCCCCTATATTAAGGAAATTCCTTTTTTATCTTCCTCTAGGTACCAATCAAAAAGATAAAAATTTTAATCTGCCTCGATTATGTATCCGGAAGTTCTTCCCACAGAAGAAATGCTTTATCTTTGATCGGCCGACTCACCGGAAGAAGCTAGGCCAGCTTGAGACGCTGAATGATAATGAGCTGGACCCCGAATTCAATCAACAAACTATAACCTTCTGTTCCTACATCTTTAAGAATTCCAAAACTAAAACTCTTTCAGGAGGCATCGAGGTCAATGGACCGCGTGAGTCCTTTTCCCAGCCTTTACTCTCACTATTAAGACTAAAAGAAGGTAGAATAACATTCATCTAGTTTCAGCTTTGAAAAATGCCAATCTACCACTATTATTGTGGTAAATTCTAGATGGCACCAACATTTCTAATAGATATTATTAGTTAGATTTCTTGGGTGAGAAAAGATAGGAATTTTTATTGCTTAAAATTTCCCCAGTGAACTAGACCTGCACTGTCCAATACGGTAGCTATTAGACAAGTGTGATGATCTAAATTTAAATGTAGATTAATTAAAATTAAAGAAAATGAAAAATTCCGATGATACAGCTATATTTCAAGGGCTCATAACCTACATGTGGCTAGTGGCCACCACAATGAATAGCACTTACAGCACATTTCCATCATTACAGAAAATTCTCTTGGACAGTACTCTGCTAGAATAAAAAAAAAAGGAGGACTCCTGTTTAATTGTCCCACAAATATTGATCAAATGCTTACCGTGGACCAGAACTGATGATAGAGACATAAATGAGAGAGGTACAGTTTCAATCCTAATGGTGCTTGTTTGTAAAGTACATGTACAAACACAGGCCTATGGTATCTAGAACAGAGGTTCTCACCCTATGATATGTATTCATATCACCAAGGACCTTACCAAGAGGAAGGTCTAATTCAGTTGACTGGAGCGAAGGCTGGGAGTCTGCAATGCTAGCAAGCTTTCAAGTGATGCTGAGAACACCGATACTGTGAGAGGCAAATAAGTGATAATAGACATCATCAGAATTACACAGAATAGAATGTTTCCTCACCCCACCCATATACACCAAAAAATCATTTGTTCTCTATTTGTAGGACTGAAGAGCTTGGTGCTGACCTATGTCAAGGCCATCAGCAGTGGTGGTCTGCCTTGCATGGAGAACGCAGTCCTGGCTTTGGCCCAGATTGAGAACTCAGCTGCAGTGCGAAAGGCCATTGACCACTATGACCAGCAGATGGGTGAGAAGCTGCAGCTGCCCACTGACACCCTCCAGGAGCTTCTGGAACTACACAAGGCCAGTGAGAAAGAGGCCATCGAAATCTTCATCAAGAATTCCTTCAAAGATGTAGACCATTTACATCAAAAGGAATTAGCGGTAATTTTTTCCTCATGTTTATATAGATTAAAGTATCTGAGAGCAAAGTACTATTAGAAAATGAAATGAACATTTGTTATGAGAAAAAGAATTCTTACTAGACTTTAAAATGGTGAAAACCCTATTCGTTATTATTATAAGAACCAATTTTATTATAACTCAAACATTTTATTTCATGAATAAACTAATAATCTGTCTCATAATTTAATTAAATGCATATAAATAACAATCAGAGCTTCTAATCAAATTACATTCTCACTGTCAACAGATTGATTTGATATTTTAGCCAAAAGCAAAGAAATATGTAGGCTTAGTTATCTTGAGCAGGCTTATGTTGAGACACATTTATTCCACGTGCAAGCACTTGTCCAGTTTGAAAAGCAAAAGCTTATTTCTAAAGCTGTATTTGTGGGTCTAGAGAACTTAGTGCTGACCTATGGTGATGCCATCATCAGTGGGGATCTACTCTGCATAGAGAATGCAATCCGGGCCTTGGCCCAGGTTGAGAATGTGGCCACAGTGCAAAAGGCCATTGTCCACTATGACAAGCAGATGGGTAGCATAATTACTAGCATAAAACTAGCAATCTCTGCTCTAAACTTCACCTCCAAGAAAAATGGGACTTCAGTGGAACGTCAGGATCAGGAGGAAAAATATGGTCCTGCTAAGGTGCCTGTAAGTTTTTCTAGGGGTCACAGACTTTAGTTTTTGAGAAGCCTTTCCAAAAATTCTGAGGTCAAGCTAACTCCTTTCTATTCTTTTCACTTCCCATTTCATATTAAAGGCACAGCTAGAAAAGAAGCGAGATGACTTTTATAAACAGAATATGAAAGCATCATCAGATCGTTGCTCAGCTTTACTTAAGGATCTCTTCGATCCTCTAGAAGAAGATATAAAGCAGGGGATTTATTCCAAACCAGGAGGGTATCGTCTTTTCATTCAAAAGATAAACGAGCTGAAGAAAAAGTACCTTCAGGAACCTAGGAAGGGAATACAGGTAACTAATATTTATCTGTTGACATTTGTCCTTGAAACACAAATGTGACCAAGTGTAATTGCACGTAGATGTGCACACAGATGTGCAATTACAGGATGGAGAGCATTGATTCTTTCATTCAATAAATATGCTTTCATTCAATAAACAGGGAGTCTGTTATACTGGATATGTATAGCTTATGTCCTCATCTAAGAGAGTGTAAAGAATTAACAATTGAATTATAAAGTGAATTATAAAATTTAATCATCAGGTCGCTATTGTAATTTATTATACCTAGATTTTTATGTTGCAAGGGACAGAAACACAATGATGCTCACTTAAACAAAAATGACAATTCATAAGTTTAGGCTTCAAAGTGGCTATAAGGATAACTGGATCCAAGATTTCAAAGAATATCAGCATCTGTCTCTCTGTCTGTTGCTCCCTTCAACCCCACACTTCTGTCCCTCCCATTCTCCCTCCAGTTTCTTTGGATCTGCTTTCTCCACAATGGCCTTAATATCCAGCAAGCTTAACCATATGAGGCCACAGCACCAACAGCTTCGAAATTAGGGATCTCAGTCTAAAAGAACAGAGACTCTCTATCTATAGCATATCAATCTCTTATAAAAGATTCTGCTTTGTAGGGTGCCATGCTTGGCCAGCTTGGAGCATGTCCCCACTCCATGACAGGGAATCTTGACCACCAGACACACCAGGGCCAACAGGAACAATTCCTAGAGGAGAAGATGGTGGGCAAATAGAAATAAGCACATACAGCCATTTCCTATTACTAACTCCATTTTCTCTGGGTCCTAGGCCGATGAAGTTCTTCAGACATATTTGACGTCCAAGGAGTCTGTAACTGATGCAATTTTACAGACAGACCAGAGTCTCACAGAAAAGGAAAAGGATATTGAAGGTGAGGAGCAAGTTAAGAGACTAGATAGCCAAGCTCTTAAAAGTTTAACTCATTTGTCTGGCTGAACCTGGGATTCTTCCCCCCCACCCCCCAAGAATCAATTATTTATTTATTTATTTTAAGATTAAGTTTATTGGGGTAACATTGGTTAATATAATTATTAATTTTCAAGTGTATATTATAATGACATCTATATATTATTCTATTGTGTGATTACCACCCAAAGTCGTTTCCTTCAGCTACCATATATTTGATCTCCTTTACGCACTTCACCCCCTATATTTGACCCCTCCTCTCCTGTCCTCCCCTACTCCTTACCCTCTGGTAACCAATAGTCCACTGTCCATGTCCCTGAGTCTCTGTTTGTCCTGTTCATTTGTTGATTTTAGGTTTATATCCCACATATAAGTGATATCATGTGATTTTCAACCCTTTCTGTCTGGCTTATTTCGCTTAGCATGATTATCTCGAGGTCCATCCACGTTATCGCAAATGGCAGTATTTCATCTCTTCTTATGGCTGAGTAATATTCCATTGTATATATGTGCCACAGCTTCTTTAGCTAATCATCTATTGTAGGACACTTCGGTTGCTTCCATGTCCTGGCCACTGTGGAACCTGGGATTCTTAAACTAGAGCAAGATAAGGAAAGATACCTCTTGCTAGCTGAAGTCATTTCTGAGTAGGGCACATGCAGTCAGCAGCAATAATGACAGATAAGTGTACAAAGAAAAAAGAAGCAACATGGTCACCCTCATAAATTTTTCTTCCTTTCCTCCTGACAGTGCAACGTGTGAAAGCTGAATCTGCAGAGGCGGCAGCGAAAATGTTGGAGGAAATGCAAATAAAGAATCAGCAGATGATGGAACAGAAAGAAAAGAGTCATGAGGAACATGTGAAACAATTGACTGAGAAGATGCAGGCGGAGAGAGCCCAGTTAATGGCAGAGCAGGAGAGGACTGTCGCTCTTAAACTTCAGGTACTTAATTGCATCACCTTGAGGTTTCTCTTTTCCTGTTTTCTCTTCACTCTCCCTGATCTCTTCATGTGGCATTAAGAACTTGAAGCACATAAGGACCTTGCTTGCCCTCTTGTACTTTTCAATCCCTGTCTGCCTGTCTGAACTGGCTCCTGCCTATGTCTGGCTATTAAAAGATCTTATTTGCATTTATATCCAGTCCTTTATCAGTATATCCTTTAATTAACGATAGCTATTATCCTAGGCATTATAAAAAAGGTTTTATCTGTATCTCTTGCTTAAGATCATATAAAGCAAGAACTGGTTATGTCCCTACTACTTAGGAGAAGAAACAGCAGTTCATAAAAGATTAAATAGATTTTATAGGGTTACACAGCTTGATAAGATATCTGAACTGTCTTTGCCCCTTAGAGGAATCCACAATGATTGTTTTTTCTGTCACACCTTGTATGACTTTAGCTCTAAGAGAAACTTTATGAGCAGAAAGACTCCTTAACTCTCATGCCTCTGTCACACTCCTGCCTGTTTTCTATGTTCTACTCTCAGTTCATGCTGAGTTGGGAATTATGTGCAGAAATCCAGTATGGACAGCCTGGGGCCCTGATTTTACTTATATTCTGCTATGCCTGCCACCAAGCTGTAGAGCTTAAATCAAATTTCCTGATCTAAGATTCACACACTTCATCTGATTTTGAGAATTCTTTATTTCTGTTTTTTTATGTGTGTGTATAAAAGTATATAAAAGTCTCTCTGTGTGTGTACAAAAAACTGCACAGATAAAATTTGAAAACAAACATATGATTAAGATTGCCTACAAAGGCGGTGTAGAATTAATGGGGAAAAAAGATCAAGATTTGTAGTTTAGGTTCGTGTCATCATAAAGATGTATAAGCCAAAAGTATTTCTTGGCTAAAGGAAGAGTAAAAGTAATCACTGAGGTAGGATGCCCAAGAGGAAGTATAAGGAAAATTAATGATAGAGAAAATTTTGAGAAGAAATTTAATACTAGAAAATCTATGGATGTGGAAATTAGATAGAAGTTACAGGTTTCCTTACTGCTATACTTTACTCACTCTCCATTTGTCCCTTTTTAGGAACAGTCCCGGTTACTAAAGGAAGGATTCCAAAATGAGAGCAAACAACTTCATAATGAGATACAGAATCTCAAGAGGAGCATGGAAAGACCCAGGAGCACCTGTATCCTAAGCTAAAGTCCTGAAGAATAGAGCTCTCCTGGTCACTTTTTAACCAAAGGATTGCTCAAGCAGTTTTAGAATTTGAAAAATTGTCTCTATGCTTGATAATCATTAGGTCTTGCATTTTTATAACACCAAAAATTTATAAAGACATGCAGTACTGTAACTGAAATTATGTCCATCTTCCTAACGATATCGTAAATTGTATAACAAGTATGCATTTCACCTCTGTACCGACGCAGGAGGTATCATGAGTTCGTTCCACTCAGGAGAAGCTTATTCTTCCAGATGACCATTAACGAATAGTGAGCAAAAGTCTTAGGTAAAAATCTTGGGTCATATTTGGGTATCGTTTTGGCCAAGTGTACAACAGGTTCCAATATCAGGGATAAACAACCATCGTTCCTTCTTAGTGAAGACCCTGTACAGGTTTCCACTGTATCCAGACTGCACGGTCCCTGATCAATGATGTGATTCCTAGCCACCGGTAACGGACAATGCTCACTGATGGCTCCAAGCTAAAGTAAACCACTTTATGTAGAGATTTAGATTCTCTACAAAATTTCCATAGGAAGATGGAAGAAATCATTAGCATGAGTAGGAACTGGCTCATAAATAAATGGGCTAAAGAAGGAAACTTTCCCTTCTTGCTCAATTCACTCAGATCATAACTTTAAAGGAACACTTCAGAACTTTAAATAACTGTCACTGGACTAAACTTAGTAACATGATAGCAATTATTCATTGTGTGGTTGTAGCAATATACAACTGGCAAAGATGGACTTTAAATGATGACAGATAATGTGTTAGAAAATGGCGCTAACTTAATTATTAGATTCTTTATAATCCTAAAGCTTAGGCTATATTCTCCCACTTCTTAACAGTCATACTTGAAAGTCTGCCGATTTTCCCAAAGAAAATATGGATTGTTTTTGACATTTTAAATCAATAAGATAATGCTCTTTGTATTACTTAGTATGTGTGGAGTTTATCTCAATTGTTAAAACTCATAGGTAAGTGGTTGATGTTTCTTAAAGCAATTAAGAATTATTTTCAAGCTGGAAATAAAATATGCTTCACTAAGCTTTCCATTTCTGGTGCGGGTTTTTTTTTGTTTTTGTTTTTGTTTTCAGTTTCTCACCCAAAAATAAGGTTTTAGTCTTTATTGCATCTATTGGCTGGCTAACTTTTCTGTAAAAAAACAGACAGTAACTATTTATGGCTTCGTGGGCCACGCAGTCTCCATCTCAACTACTCAATTCTACCACGTGGTATGAAAGCAGTCATAGACAATGAATAAATAAATGGCCATAGTTGTGTTTCAATAAAACTTTATATTCAAAAATAGGTAGCACCCACAAGCCATAGTTTGCAGACCCTTGCTTTATAGAAACAGTGGGCAAAGTTGCATGCATCTAAAGTAACATATGGATTCAATTGTGTATGTTAGGTTCTTGAAAATTTTATGGAGTGTTTCGAAATACTACATGAGAGAAAAAGAGAGAAGCAGCTAATGTCCCTAAATTCACATTAATAAATCTGCTTTTTCTGATTGTGTTGAGATCTGTTATCGAGCCCCCTTCCTTCCATCAGATGGTGAATGCTGCCTTCTGCAGTTGAGCACGTGCTACTAAACGGTGTTTCTTTACTTGAGCTGCAATTTCATAGGGGACCAGGTGAGAAGCACAGCATATTAGGAGTATTTACGTAGATGTGCTCTTCCAAGCTGAATTGCCACAAAGTAGTAAATAAAACACATTTTTATTAGCTGAAGAAACCACGGGAGAAAAGAATAACTGCCTTCAAAGCCTTATTTGTTTTCTTTACTATTTAAAAAGAAGAAAGTTAATACAACAACATGGATGGACCTAGAAGGTATTATGCTAAGTGAAATAAGTCAGACAGAGAAAGACATATGATCTCACTTATGTGGAATCTAAAGAACAAAATAAACAACAACAAAAAAAAACAGAAACAAACTCATAGATACATGGAACAAACAGATGGTTGCCAGATGGAAGGGGCATCGAGGGGCTGGGTGGAAAAGGTGAAGGGAATTAAGAAGTACAAATTGGTAGTTACAAAAGTCACAGTAGGTAAAGTACAGCATAGGGAATATAGTCAATAGCATTGCAAGAACATCTAACCACTGTGCTGTACACCTGAAACTAGTATAAAATAACTGTAATAGAAAAAAATTTTAAGGGAGGAAAAAGGCGAAGGGGAATAACAAGTTCAGGTTTCCAGTTATAAAATAAATAAGTCATGGGTATGTAACACACAGAGTGGGGAATATAGTCGATAATATTGTAATAACATTGTACAGAGTCAGATGTTACTAGACTTATCATGGTGATCACTTCTTTAGGTATATAAATGTTGCAAAATTGTAGCATGCACTTGAAACTAATATAAAATTGTATGTTAGCTATATTTTAATAAAAATTGAAAAAAATTTTTTTAAAGCATCAAAGAAAAAAATTCACTAATTCTCTGCAGTGTAAAAACTGTCATAAGTAGAAATGTCAGGTTCAAAATGTATTTGCAGGGTGTCTTTATTTTAAAAAATAAGAGAATTGAAACTAAGCAAAATTAAGACAGAAAATCAATAAGGAAAGTTTTTTTACACTATAGAACAAATGGAACTAACAGATATATTAGAACATTCCATCCAATAGCAGTAGAAACTTCTCAAGTGAACAGGGAACATTCTCCAGAATAGATCATAGGTTAAGCCACAAAACAAGTCTTAACAAATTTAAGATTATTGAAATCATAACAAGTATCTTTTTCTGACCACAGTAGTACATTTAATCATATATGCATGAGTTTATTTGTTTCATTGATCTATGTGTCTGTCATTATGCCAATAACATACTTTTTAAATCACTGTAGCTTTGTAATATATTTTGAAATCAGGAAATGTGATGCTCCAGCTTTAATTTTCCTTTCTCAAGATTGCTTTGACTGTTCTAGGTCTTTTACGGTTTCGTAAGAATTTTAGAATAATTTTTCCTATTTCTATATAATATGCCACCGGAATTTTGTTGAGGACAGTACTGAATTTGTAGATTGTTTTGGGTAATACAAACATTTAAAAAATATTAAGTCTTATAATCTATAAAATTAGATATGGAATGTTTTTCCATTCATCTGAGTCTTCGTTAATTTCTTATATTAGTGTCTTACAGTTTTCAGCATACAAATCTTTCACCTCCTTGGTTGTTTATTCCTAAGAACTTTATTTCATTTGATTATATTGTAAATGGGATTATTTTCTTAATTTCTTCTTTGGGTTGTTCATTGTTAGTGTATAGAAGTGCAGGTGATTTTGGTATGTTGCTTTTGCATCCTGCAACTTTGGTGACTTGGTTTATTAGCTCTAACAGTTTTTATTAGTTCTAATAGTTTAAGGTTTTCTACATGTAGCATCATGTCTTCTGTAAACAAAGATCATTTTATCCTTCCTTTCTAATTTGAGTTTTTTAAATTTCTTTCTATTGTCTAATTTATGTGGCTAGCATTCCAGTATTGTGTTGAATAGAAGTGGTGATAATGAGTCTAGTTCCTAATCTTAGAGGAATAAGAATCCTTGTCTTGTTCATGATCTTAAAAAAAAGTTTTCATCATTATGATGCTAGCTGTAGGTTTGTCATATATGGCCTGTATTATGTTGAATGTCAGTCTTTCTATATCTAGTTTATAGACTGTTTTTATTATGAAAGGATGTTGAATTTTGTCAAGTGCTTTATGTGCATATATTGAGATGGTCATATGATTTTAATCCTTCATTCTGTTATTGTGGCATATCAGGTTTATTGATTTGGGTATGTTGAATTATTCCTGCATCCAGGGATAAATCAAATAATATTTCATAAGTGTGCCAAGAATACACAATGGAGAAAGGATAGTCTCCTCAATAAATAGTGTTTGGAAAACTGGATATCCATGAGCAAAAAAACAATGAAATTAGAATCTTACTTTACATTATACACAAAAATCAACTCAAAATAGATTAAAGACTTTAACACAAGGTCTGAAACTATAAAACATTTAGAAGAAAACAGGGAAGAAGCCTCTTGATGTTGATCTTGGTGATGATTTCTTGAATATGACTTCAAAAATATAGGCAGCACAAGCAAAAACAGACAAGTATGACTATATCAAACTAAAAGGCTTCTGCACGGAAAAGGAAATAATCGACAGAATGGAAAGGCGACCTATGGAATGACAGAAAATATTTCCGAAGCATATATTGATAAAGGGTTAATTTCTAAAATTATAAGAAATTACTAGAACCCAATAGCAATAAATAAATAAATGGGCTGATAAAAAATGGGCTAAGGACTTGAACAGACATTTCTCTAAAGAAGACATACAAATGGCCAACACTTATATGATAACATGTTCAACAGCACTAATATCAGGAAATGTAAATCACTACTACCATGAGATATCACTTTATACCTATTAGATGGTTATTATTTTTAAAAAGATAGTGTTGGAGAAGTTTTGGAGAAATTGGAATCCTTATACACTGTTAGTGGGAATGTAAAACTGTGCAGCAACTATGGAAAATAGTATGTGAGTTCCTCAAAAAATTAGAAATAGAACTACCATATGATCTAACAATCTCACTTCCGGATATATAAATAAAAGAACTGAAATCAGAGTCTTGAGGAGGTAGCTGTACTTGTACCCATTGTAGTATTACTCAAACTAGCCAAGGTATAGATACAACATAAGTGCCCACTGACAGATTAATGGATTTTTAAAAATGAGATGCATACATATTATGGAATAGTATTCAGTCTTCAAAAAGAAGGAAATACTGCCATTTGCAACAACATGGATGAATCCTGAGGACATTATGCAAAATGAAATAAGCCAGTTACAAAAGGACAACCAGTGTGTGATTTCACTTGTATGAGTTGTCTAAAATAGTCAAACTCTTAGAAGCAGAGAATACAATAGTGGTTGCCAGGCCTTTGGGGGCAGGGTGGGTATGGTGAGTATGGGGAATTATTGTCCAATGGGTATAAAGTTTCAGTTATGCTAGATGATTAAGTTCTTGGTATCTATCTGCTGTATAAGATAATGCCTATAGTTTAAAACACGGCATTGCGTATTTCAAAATGTGTCAAGAGGGTTAATTTCGTGTTTAGTGTTCTTACCACCAAAAAGAAGAGGATGGGGATTTAGGGAAGTGTTGCATATATCTATTATCTTGGTTGTGGTGATAGTATCATGGGTGTTTGCATATGTCCAAACTCATTGAATCCTACACATTAAATATGTTCAGTTCTTCGTGTATTCATTATACCTCAATAAAGCTGTTTTTAAAAATTCTGAAAAACAATTCGCCAGATCCAGATGGCCCCTCCTGACTGGTGAATTTTACCAACCATTAAAAGGAGAAGTAACACCAATTCTATGCAATTTTTTCCAAAAAAATAGAAGAGAAAACATTTCTCAATTCATTCTATAAGAGCAGCATTATCCTGATACTATAATCAAACAAAAACAGTTCAAAAAAGGAAAAGTACTGATCATTATCTCTCATAAACATATATGCAAAGATCTTCAACAAAATATTAGCAAGTTGAATCAAGCAAAATATGACAATGATGCATGTCGATTAAATGGGTTCTATTCTGTGAATGCAAGGCTGGTTCAAAAATCAATGTATTTCACCATACTAAAAGTCTTAAGAAGAAAAACCAGTTAATTATATAAACACTAAAAAACCTCGACAAAATATGACACCTATTCATGATAAAATTCTCAGTAAACCAGGAGAAAATGTGAATTTCTTCAAGCTGATAAAAGGAATCTACAGAAACCCTTCACCTAAAATATGTAATGATGAAAAACTGAATGCGCTAACTCAGGAACAAAGCAAGGATGGCCAGTCTTCGGCACTCCTATTCAACATCATTCTGAAAGGCTAAGTACAATATGGCAAAAAAAAGGAAAGAAAGAAAGAAAAGAAAGAAAAGAAAGAAAGAAAGAAAAGAAATAAAAGAAAGGAAAGAAAGAAAGAAAGAAAGAAAGAAAGAAAGAAAGAAAGAAAGAAAGAAAGAAAGAAA